ATATATATATATATATATATATATATATATATATATATATATTGGTGTGACTTAGGGGGAACAAAGATGGAGATTTCTTGTTAAACAAAAAGAAGGGGAGAGTTTGTGATGTGTCTCCCAGCCAGTGCTGTGGTGAGGGGGAGATATAAAGATGACTTGAGTTATACCGCTGTGGCAGATTATTGCATGGGATTGCAACATTGTTAGGGCCATAGTATTTTAAGTTTATGTCTCACTGTGGCTACGGATTGTTTGCAACTCCAGTGGGGAGTGGGTACAACAACTTCTTCAGGAACCAAAAACAGTGGAAGTGATTAAAGCAAATCACTCAGGTAGTTACACTCTCCAGAGAGGTACTGCTGCCTAGGAAGGGTTGCACATACTGGATTGTCCAGAGACCATCAGACAAAGAAAGAATTTGGGGATAAAAAGCTGGGTTAACACTGACTCTGGCCTTCTTGCTGATCCACAAATGGACAGGATCTTCTGTCCAAGGTGTGTGGGGGGGCATCCTTTGAGGAAGGGGTGAAAGGACTTTGACCTGCTAGGGCCCTATAAGACTGATGGGTGACCAGTGGGTGAGCTTTTGGCATGCTTATAGGAACTTTCATTGTTTTAATATGTTTTTCTGCAATGCTTTTACCTTAAGAATACACGTGCTTGCTTAGAAAGAGCGGTGTGATAACTTGTAACTGCTGGCAATACATTGTTAATAGCCCTCAGAGAGAAAGCAATGCAACCACACTGGCCTTTAGGCAAACTGTCTTGCTAGGGATATCACAGTGTAAAGAAAGGAGCTATGCAACCATAAAACTCTGGTCAGGAGGGAGAAAGACGTACATGTCTGCCCAAGGGAGGTGACGGCTGGGAGCTGGAAATCTTAACTGGATGCCTCAAAGGACCACGGAGAGGGAATGCAGGTGCACTTACCCTGAAATTGTGACAATCACCACTGGGCTGTCAGTGCCCGAGAAGGAGCTCATACTCTGGAGCAAGCAGCCAGGCTGGGCTACCACACAAGCATTTAATCTTTCCCTTGGCGGGATGGGCTCACATGACCTAACACCAGGCTGCAGAGGCAGATTTGGCAGCATTGTGTAAAATGTCTTGGCCACATATAACGAACGTGCTTCTAAACCAGACAATTGCATGTCGAAAACACACCCTCTGTATACAACGTGTGTGTGTGATTGTGTGTGTGTGTACAAAAAGTGTTCATATGTGTAAGCACTTGTTTGCATATACAGTTACCTGTTTTGCATGTGCAACTATTAGCGTGTGCATGGCTGTCTTGGACCTAACTTGGACTCAGATGTTTGAAAATTTGGCCCTGTATCCACTGTCAGACTGTTGTCACTTTCTGTTTTGTGTGGCATTTGTAAGACAGTAGCTAATGGGGTGGGAGTGTAGGGGGAATCCTGGCTAAAATAAATCTCAGTGATATTTACTTGGTCTTCCTTATGTAAAATAGTGTAAAAATGGAGCAGTAAAATATTGTAAAACTTGAGCTGATACTTCTACTAATGCAAAGTGGCAGTTTTTAAATAGGGTTGCCGCCATTTGTCACTTTCAATCATAGACTGCTGATAGTGGTACTTAGAAGGACTTAATAGTCTTAAGAAAACAAATAGAGACCCTCCCCCTCCTGAAACAGAAAAACAGACACGGATTGAGGCTTGGATTGTCATGCCTTGAGATACATCAAGTGCACCACATGGCGCTGTCTGTGCACTTCCTTTTCATCCTACTCAAGTGAAACTGACAACTTGTCAAGTCTCTCATTTTGTTCACTTAGCGTCCTGCTCTGTTCTTTGGCTTTCTTGCCTTTTCTTAAGTGCTGTCCACCGTTTTTTTCACTAGTCTTTCAAAAAGAACGGTGCCACTTTTTGTTTTAATCGCCTCTATTTGTGTGATACAGTTTTAAGAATCTAAAAATAAATTTTTTCTCCTGCGAATAATATTTAGCACTTCAGTAGCACCTCTACTTGTTCAAAGCACTGTATAGATGGTAGTTAATTATTCCTCACTCAGGTAGATGTGGTATTATTTCAGTTTTACAGATAGGGAAACCAAGGCAGAGAGGTGGAGTGACTTGCCCAGGGCCATACTTGAAGTAAGTGGTGGATCCATGGTAGAAGTCTGGAGTTCCTGACTCATGTGACCACAGTGTCAATCCGGTTATTTCACTTGACTATTGTCCTCTATAGATCTGGTCCATCTTCCAGACTGTGTTTCTTCACTTTCTTTGCTGAATTTTGTTTACCTCCTCTCCTGTGCATCAGTGGATGGATGATATGCACAGCTCTGGTAGCAGTCTTTGGTTTTGTTATGTTTTCCATCAGCAAAGAGCAAACCACATAATTTTCAGTCATTGTCATTGAAGTTAATGGAACTACATGGAGTTACATGAGACTTTCTTCTTACATGTAATCCTCATCGTGATAATAAGATGCTGAGCTGCACATTGTCCTCTTGGGTTTATGCCTACTATTAAACAGGAGTGGTTTGATGGGCATTCAGCAGAACTCTCATTAACGCAGGAGGGAGTTCACCTGTACACCCTCTCCCACTCTTCACATTTTATCTTGTGCTGACAGACATGACATTCTACGCACCATGTTGTGCCAGATCAAGCTCTGTTATACAATGTCCCCTGGGAACGAGAGGAAGTGACAAATGTAACAGCTAATAAAGGTTGTTTTCTGTATGCTAGATTCTCTTCACAGATTTTATTTAAGGTGATGAGGCTCTGATCTGCATGGAAGAACCTGCATTGGGCAAAACCTAGGCATGTTGTCCTGATAGTCATTTGTCAATTTCCTCTGCAATTCTGTTCAAAATCACCATGAAATAACTTTGCCCATTGAAGACAAAGTCAAACACCACCAGTAATTGCTATCTGGAAAACTGCATAATTTTGTTATATATTAATTTCAAGTCTCATGAACAAGAGCTTATTATCTAGTACAGTTTGGGGATGTAGACATTAGATCCTCTGCCAGTGTAAATCAGCATAGTTCAAGTGAAATCAATGGAGAATCTGGCCCATTTTTGGAATATTTCATACATAGACTCTGCCGTAATACATTTGGATTCGCTCACAGGCAGCCACATACGTAACTGTTTTTCTTTATTTCCTGTGCTCAATACACAACACATTTGGAGCAGAATCTTGGCGTCTTTCATACAGGTACAATTCCCCTTGACTGAACTCAATACAATGAGTCTCACCTGTGTTAGGAATGTAGGGTTAAGCCCTCAAAACTACCAATAGTTTCAGATCGAAGAATTACATTAGAAATAAAGTAATAAGGGTGAGTTTTCAAAGCTACCTAAAGGATTTGGACACTCCGTTTCTATTAAAATGAACGGGAATTGAGCATCCAACCCAATCAAGTGAGATTGAAAATCCCAGTTTTATTTTTTTAAGTAACATATAGATGCACATGTTTATACTTTTAATGTTTTTGGGCAACTGTGTTTGACTGGGAGAAAAAACTATAATGGAATATAGTATTAAAGTACTAATTAATATATTGTACTAATCGGTCATACTTTTTAGAGCAATGCAAACAGTTTAATGCTAGTTTTGCTTCACCACCTCCTGTGCCTTCCCTAATTAAGATCCTAATCCAACAAAGCACATAATAACACATTTAACACTAAGGTTATTCCATGGCGATCAGTGGGATGATGCATACATTTAAAGTTAAGCACAGGCTTAGGTTCTATGCTGAAGTGAGGCTTCGTTGGAACTAACATGATGTTTGCTATCATCACAGTTTACTTGTGTGTTCAACCCTTTCCCCCACCATGTGTCTGTCTTTTCTATCAAGACTGTTAACCCTTTGGGGCAGGTTCTCTGCTACTTGATGTTTGTATAGTGTCTAGCACAATAGGGCCCTGTTTCTGTCTGATCCTTAGGCACGACCCTAATAAACTTGATTCATAATAATTCAAAGAATATGAATTTTTAGTTATATGGGCCAGACCTCCAACTGGTGCAAATAGACATTGCTCCATGATCAGATCCATAAATTCTCTGTTAATCATATTAATATTTTTATGATGTAGCCACACACAAAAATTGAAAAGTAAGACCCTGCTCTTGCAAATACTTTTACATGTGAGTAAATTTACACATCTGAGTAGTCCTATTTAACTAAATGGGACACCTACATGTATGAAGTTACTCCCGGACGTAAGCATTTGCATGACTGAGGCCCAAGTCTGTCTATTTCAAGCAATAAAACTTATTCCAATGATCAATATTTGTCTTTAAATAGTGACACTTACACACTTTATCACTTCACATGTTCGGAGAAAAAAATGTAGAAGGTGTAAAAAGCGTTGAGCTTTTAAATGGAAGGAAAGAGAAATATTACAAACGAATGAAATCAAAGATCATTAAAGTCTTTGGGGGAGATTTTCAAAAGCCCAAATGGCAGTTCGGTGCCTAACTCCCATTGACCTTCCAAGGGAATTAGATGTTTAACTGCCATTTGTGCTTTAGAAAATCTTCCCCTTTATCATTAGGAAGTTTCAGTTAAAAGTTTAGAGGTACAATTTAAAGAACGTTTCACCTTGAATCAAAAGGTAAAGATGCAGATTTTTATACTGAAGCCAAACTGTATCTAACAGACAAAATAAGAGTGAGAGAGAGAGAGAGAAAAATCCAGGAGGTGGAGTCAGATAAGGAAAAACGATTAAGTTCTTGCATTAAAGTAGTTAAGCTGTCATCTTAAGCTCACTTTATCAGAGTTATTGCTGCTTATTCATAAGAGCACTAAGCAACAGATGTTCACCTGGCCAAGCAAGCCTGTTGAAAGGAAGATGTACATATGCTGAAGGGAATGAAGCGTGATCTGATTCTTAGAAAGGAAGGTTCTTGTTTCCTGGTATTTGTTAAAGCTTAATAAAGAGAGTGGGAAAAGGGAAAAAAGAAAGAAGTGGATGGAAGGGATAGAAAGAGACAAAGTAAAAGAGAGCAAAGATAAATGAAGCCAAGGTGAAATTATAAACTCAGGGACATTTCTTGAGCAGCAGTAAAAAGCATAAAGAACACAGATTGCAAAAGAAACAAGTTAGTTAAAAAAGCACAAAGTAGGAAAAAGGGGAAAGAAATTTTCCAGATACCTCCATGATATGTGTCAAGTTAGCAGAGTAAATCATAGAATCATAGAACTGGAAGGGACCTAGAGAGGTCATCTTGTCCAGTCCTCTGCACTCATGGCAGGACTAAGTATTATCTAGACCATTCCTGACAGGTGTTTGTCTAATCTGATCTTAAAAATCTCCAATGATGGAGATTCCACAACCTCCCTAGGCAATTTATTCCAGTGCTTAATCACCCTGACAGTTAGGAAGTTTTTCCTAATGTCCAACCTAAACCTCCCTTGTTGCAATTTAAGCCTATTGCTTCTTGTCCTATCCTCAGAGGGTAAGAAAAACAATTTTTCTTCCTCCTTCTTGTAACAACCTTTTACATACTTGAAAACTGTAACATATCCCCTCTCAGTCTTTTCTTTTCCAGACTAAACAAACCTAGTTTTTTCAATCTTCCCTCATAGGTCATGTTTTCTAGACCTTTAATCATTTTTGTTGCTCTTCTCTGGACTCTCTCCAGTTTGTCCAAATCCTTCCTAAAATGTGGCTCCCAGAACTGGACACAATACTCCAGTTGCAGCCTAATCAGCGGAAGAATTACTTCTCATGTCTTGCTTACAATATTTCTGCTAATACATCCCAGAATGATGTTCGCTTTTTTTGCAACAGCATTACACTGTTGACTCATATTTAGCTTGTGAACCACTGTGACCCCCAGATCACTTTCCACAGTACTTCTTCCTAGGCAATCACTTCCCATTTTGTATGTGTGCAACTGATTGTTCCTTCCTAAGGGGAGTACTTTGCATTTGTCCTTATTGAATTTCATCCTATTTACTTCAGACCGTATCTCCAGTTTGTCCAGATCATTTTGAATTTTAATCCTATCCTCCAAAGCACTTGCAACCCCTATCAGCTTGGTATCATCCGCAAACTTTATAAGTATGCCATTATCTAAATGCAAACAGCATTGATTCTTTTCTACTTCCTAATCCCCCCCCCCCCCCATTTATGTGTTTAACTTAACAAACTGACTTAGGACTTAAGCACAATTGTGCCTTTTGTCTCTCTTTTTCCTGATTGAGGACATTTGGTGGTGGTCAGCCTTTAAGATTCAATCCAGGGTATCAAACAAAGGTAACACAAGAGTCATAAAATTTGGCAGTCATTCTGAGGGTACTTGGGACATGTGTCCTATTTATCATCTGAAAGGTTACACTGAATGACTTATGGATGTACTTAGCATGAACATGACTTGTAGGAATGGTGACATTAGAACTCTTACCCGTTCTCAACCCATCTCTTGACTTTGCAAACGCAGGGAGAAACTCAATTCCTTTCTCTGTGGCTATGAAAGGCTGTTTGGCACCAGAATGGGTGTGGTTCCTCTGAGCAAGGGAGAAGACCAGATGAAGGGAGGCTGTACCCATCTATGCAATGTGCGGCCCTGCTGCACGTGAGTTCCCAGCAAAACAGTTCACAGAAAGCAGGACAGAATGGAGCTGTGAGGGTTTAGGAGAGAGGATTCACAGCTGTGGGCCTCTTTCCATTCTTCTCCACCCGGCCCCGCAGATGGGGGAAGGCTTCACTTGCTCCCACTTACTTTTGCCTGGCGCCCAGCTGGCTATTCAAGCCAGCCAAAATATTAAGGATTTGGCCCATAATCTAGGAAAGACACAACAGCCATGTTTGCTCTCTGAATATTGTTAAATGAAAAAGGTCTATTATGCTCTGCTTGGATGATATTGCATCGTCAGTCCTGAAAGCAATTGCTTCCCAAATCGTTACATTGTGAGAATCCTATTAAAACACAATAAGCCAATGCGCAAGTTATCTACAACTGGATAGTCGCCCGATTGGGTCCCTTTGTACTTAACACACTGGGTGACAACAATAGAGCATAACACGTGGCACCCTGTCCTGAATGCACTAGCCATGTAATTGGACATTTCTTCTGAGGGAAAGATTGCTAATCATTGAATGGGAGTTTGAGGAAGGACTGAGTATTTGGCTAAAGGACAGGAAATGGTCTTCCTGAATTATTTTTGCAACTAGAGCAAGAATGCTGAAAGAGCATTTGAAGCTGATTTGTAAGACAGATGTTAAACAGACTAGCAGCACCCCAGTATCCCTCTAATACTTATCTCATGTACCAAATATATTTTCTTAGCCTCAGTAATGAAACTGCAGTACTTAGGACTATATACATAGTATCCTGAATGATTTGTCATGCAAAAGAACATGGAAATATTTGTGCCACTAATAATATTTTACATTGACAGAGGGCCAAATAGTGCCATATAGATGCAGCCCCTTGCTGGAGGTTTAGTAGAATCAGACCACCCCCAGGGGGAGACAGTCCCTCCCCAAGCAGCCAGAGGCACAGGTGGTATTCCACAAGCTGCATCACCCTTTGGGTGCACCATTGTCTAGTTGACAGAGTCCTGGACTGGGAATCAGAAATCTGGATTCCATCCCTAGCTCTTCCATTGACCTGCTGTGTGACTTCTGGCAAGTTACCTCACCTCTCTGTGCCTCTATTTACCCCCTCACCCTTTGTCTGTCTTAACTGTTTAGATTATAAGCTCTTTGGGGAAGGACTGATGCTTACTATGTGTTTGTACAGCACATAGCACAATGGGGCCCTGATCTCAGTCTGGGCAATACTCTAATAATAAATAATAATAAAACATAGTAATAACCATTCACAGAACAGAGGGAGGGAATCCTGTTGGCAAGGACTTTAGGGAAAACCACCTACAGAGAGGAACATGCGACCTTTAATGTC